AATTCCAGAAAAACAAAACACTTGAGAGACAGAGACAGGGAATCTATATGAGTTCAAAGCCCAGTCTACAGAGTGAGTTCCAGAAAAGCCAGAGCTACATAGTGAGACCCTGTCACAAAAGAAAACCATAGTTTTGGTTCTCAAGAGAGCTCAGTGACCAAAGGACAAGGAACCAGTAAACTGCAATGCAAATGTGGTAAGAGACAAGGGCCCCTACAAGAACAAGGATTTAAGGAAGGCCTCTAGAGATGCACCTTGAACTACAAAATGAGGGAAAGGCATCATGGAAAAAGAAGAGCTTGGAGAACATAGGACAGTCTCTACCAGAGGGAAAAAAAAGTCAATAAAATACTTTTTAAACTTTATTTAAAACTATTTACATATAAGACAGGGTCCGGGCACTTCGGAGGCAGAGGCAGGCAGATCTCTGTGAGTTCCAGGCCAGCCTAGTCTCCAGAGCGAGTGCCAGGATAGGCTCCAAAGCTACACAGAGAAACCCTGTCTCGAAAAACCAAAAAGAAAAAAGACAGGGATATACTGTAGTGGCAGAGCACTTGACTACAGTATGTACCCCTGCCCCCAGGTCAAACTAGCACAATAAAGAGAAAAAAGTTATGAGTGAACAAGTTGCTGCTAAATTTGGTTAATTTGGGAACACCCAAAAGCTAAGCTCTAGAAGGAACAAAGACAAAGTTCTAAAGATCGATCTGGTTTTCAGCATATTTGTCCTATTTCAGGGAACTTATAACCTTTTATTCTCTATTTTGAGAGATGAAAAGAGCTACATACAGTGGCACAGGTCTGTAATCGCAGCACTCAGGAAGCTGAGCCAAGACAATTGCAATTTTAAGTCTAGCCTGGACTATGTAGCAAGGTGAAAGTCAGCCTGGGCTACACTGCCAGACCCTATCTGTTTTTTGTTTTTTGTTTTTTGTTTTTAAATAAAAAATAAAGACAAGCATTCTAGGAAAGTGCTCCAGCACTGACCTTCACTCCTAGCCATGTGTTTTATTGCCCAGATGTTGGGATTAAAAGCATGTTCACCACCACCTGGCCTAATAAGACATTTCTTATAAAAAACACAAAATTATAAACTATAAAAGAAAGGATGGTAAAAGGAGAAAAACCATTGATTCTGAAAGATACCTGTTTTTAAAGCTAGAGAATGAGCCTCAGGACCTTGAAAATGCTAGGCTGTGCCCAGCATTCAGAGGCAGAGGCAGGTGGACCTCAGTGAGTTTTCAGCCAGTCTAGTCTACATAGCCAGGCAGGACTACCTAGTGAGAACCTGTATGAGATCCTGTCTCAAAACAAAAATAAAACAAAATGACATAACTTATACAAATACATATACAAATACATATACATATAACTTATACAAAAACATATACAAAAAATTACATAACAGATAAACAAATAAATGAAATACACAAACCTCCAAAGCTGATTCAAAAGAATATTAAAAATCTAAACAGACCTGGCTAGTTGTTGTTTGATTTTTGTCTTCTGAGAACAGGTTTCTCTGTGTAGCAGTGGCTGTCTACAGAAATTGCTCTGTAGACCAGGTTGACTTTGAACTCACAGAGGTCTGACTGCCTCTTGTCTCCTGAGTGATAGGATTAAAGGCGTGTGCTTCTGACACCACCCAGCTTAAGGCAAAATTCTTAAACAAAACAAAACACCAACAAAACAAACCCAGCAGTTTAACAAAAAGATTATATCTAATGACAAACTGAAATTTGCCCCAAAACTATTCAACAAGAAAATAAAGTTTTCTGAAATAAATGGTACTGGCAAAATTGTACACTGGACAGAAAGATTTTTAAAAGAAATAGACAATCTGGTCTTAAAATTTGCATGGATTTGCAGAGGACCCTTAGCAGCAAAAACAATCCTAACAGAAGAACAAAGCTGATGGACTCGAATTTTCTGGATTCAAAACCTACAAACCATAACCAATGGCACATGCCTGCAGGCCTCTAATCATGGAAGGTGGAAGCAGTAAGAATAAGGAATCTAAGATCAGTCCTGATTACGAGGAAAGCCTGACCTGTTTTAAACATCACCTAGTAGTTGGGAAAAACACATCAGCCTTCCTAGATATGCCTGAGTGCTGGAGTACCTAGGTTTGATGGAGAGCACTCCATAAACCTAGTGTGGGAGGACCTAGAATGCCAGTACTCAGGACATAGAGGCAGGAGAACTAAACCAACATCAAGGCCAGCTTTTGCTAAGTGGAACCCTGTCTAAAACAGAAAGAAAAAAAATAAGAAATATACCTATAGAGCTACGGTCAGTTTATTTTGTTGGTTAAGACAGCATCTCAATATGGAGACCAGACTGACCTTAAATTAAAATTGTTCTAGCCGGGCATTGGTGGGACACGCCTTTAATCCCAGCACTCGGGAGGCAGAGGCAGGCAGATCTCTGTGTGTTGGAGCCCAGCCTGGTCTACAAGAGCTAGTGCCAGAACAGCCTCCAAAGCCACAG